ACTGTTGTCCCAGCCACTAACCTGTTAACTGTCTCTCACCAAATTAAGAATTCTGCACGTTTAGATGAGCAAAGTAAAAAATAAGATTTTGCCAAAAGGTATAGCCACCAAGAAAGTTGTAAAAATTTCTTATCTCTGCTCCTGGATGTCCTAGATGAAAGACATTTAGGCAAAATGCTAAAAATTGTGGGAAATGCTGCCTCTTGTCAGGGCAGTTTCACACTTAGAGGCAGATTTTACTTGGAGAATTGACTCTTAGCCTGCTCTCAGCTGACAGGAAATGCAGGTGCCTTTCCCTGCTGCAGAGATGGTGCAGAGCCCCTGCTCTGTCATTTTTGTGTTGAGAATAACGCAGGAATAATCAGGAGGCAGTATTGAAGAAAGAGTAAAGAAGGTTTTATTCAAGAGAATTGCACGGTTTTTATCCAGTGATACGATAGATTTTATTTGATTGGCTAATTAACAAAAACATCTTCCTCATACACTGTCTTTGAGAAGAACAGAAAGATGAAGTAGAAAAACACCAGTTATATGTCAGAACCCAGAAATTCCTCTGGCTGCCCTGGAGACCCTGGCAAGGGGCTCAGAGACCTTGGCATGGAGTCAAAAACACTTGTGCCTTTGATTTAGCCCTTGGAAAAAACAATTACCAACTTTGTGTGAAGATGCACAAGACACAAGAGTTTGAGTAGAATGATAGTGAGTTTATCAGAGGGTGAAATGTAGAATTTTGGGGTTTTTAGAATAGAGGTTCAGGAGGCAAGATGGAGGAATCAGGGTGTGTCCTGTCCTTCTTCTTTTTCTTCTTGCCCTCCATCTTCTGCTGTGATGGTGACACTTCTGGATTGGTTTAGAGTAGAGACAGAGTGTCTGACATAGGGGATAGGTATTGGAAAATTATTGTAAATAAAGTACAGGTAGTTCTTAGTATAAAAAGCTAACACCACCCCAAGGTCAGGGACTGTGCCACAAACTGACCTGCCAGACAGACCCCAGCAGGACAGAGAAAGAATGTCATAGACAAGAAATAATAAACAACCTTGAGAATGAGAACAGAAGAATCCTGACTCCTTCTTTGGGTTCCAGGCTGGGAAAAGAGACTCTCTGACACATCTGGGGGTTATCCTGACCACAGAGACCCCCGAGACTTGTTTTGCTTAACACGTTATCACATCCTTACAACTCCCTAAAAATCCTCACAAGCTGCTGTGAGAAACTCTTGCCATTCTTCTCTCACTGTCCCATGGCATCCACACTGCTCCAATGTTCCATCCAGCTGTTCCAGCTGCTGAGAGGGGCCCAGACAGCAGCAGCAGCTGCTCCCTCAGTGCAGGAGGCCCAGATGTTTCCCCAGATGCCCTGAGAGGACGGAGCTCCTCATCCCAGAGCATTCCCCAGCATTCCTGAGTGCCCTGGGGCTGCTCAGGGCACGGCAGAGCAGGGGCTGCATCCCTGGCTGTGCACAGCAGCCCCAGCTCCACTCCCTCCCTGCTCAGCCTCCTCATTATTATTGTTTCAGTCCTCCCACAGCCTCAGATCCAGCTGCATTAGGCAGGTTCTGATGCTGTCACAGTCACACAGAGAATGAATCATATTGAACATTGCCCATGGGGTTGTTTATTCCTTCAAGAGGGAGTGGACTGCATGCCAATATCCCTGGCAAGGCTTAATGAAGGAACTGGGTTTTGCTAGGAAACCTGGATGCCCTCCTACAGGGATTTGCTGGATGGTATGGCTCTGAAAAGCTATGTAAAAATATATATATTTTTAAAAAATCTATATATTATATTATATTATATTATATTATATTATATTATATTATATTTTACATAAATACATCTTAATATAACAAAATATATGTTATATAATATATAAAAATATATTAAAGTTATATATATTTATTAAAATATTTATTAATTTTCATTAAAATTAATATATATTAAAATTAATTAATTTTAAATATTAAAATATTTATTAAGATATTATAAAATATATTATATTTATAAATACGTATTATAGAAATATAATAAAATATATAATAAAATTATTCTTTAAAATATTTTTATATAATAAAAATATTTTTTAAAACATAGAAGAGACTCTCAACATAATGAAATCTTGGTAGGGTCTTTTAAGCTCTCCAACTCCTAAGTCCCAGACCTCAGTGGAGACAGGCACACCAGGAATATGCAGGTCTGGCTCTTGAAGTTTGTGCTTGTACAGGCATCTTAATCCTTCCTGTCCTCCTTACTTAGGTTCTACACCCTCTGCTTTGCTTTTGTCTCCTTCAAAATAGAGAACTTTTCCACCTGGCTCTGACTTCTGGAGCTAGGAATCACTGAGGGAGGAGTTAAATGGGAATTTTGCATCTTCCCCTGCTGTTTGCTGTTGCCAGTTTTTAAAGTGTATTTCTGTTAAGCAGAACAAGCCCAGAGCACAATGAGTGCACAATTCCTTGGTTTGCAAAGATCATTTGGTCAAACATAAGCCAGCACTACTGTGCAAACAGTCTATGATGGGCACCTCAGTTATCACACATGATGTTGTTTCTCCTTTGGTAATTTCTGAAACATATAGAACAGATGAAAATTTGAAATGCAATCCAGTCTTCAGCCTTTGGAAATGATTCATTCTATTAATGATTTACTGATTTACACACAGCTTATTTTGCATAAAGTTAGAGCTGGGCACATTTATTCATTGTGATTCCCTTAAAAATGGATATAAATATCAAAAGCAATTGGCTACCAAAAATTTTAATATTACAGCACTGCATCATGGAGAGTTGACATGAATATGAGTCTAGGTCAGAAAAAATATAGAGAAAATGCTTAACCAAGTATGATATTTTACATCATGTCACTGAATCATTTGAAAGGCTTCTATTCATTACAAACGCATGCAGTGTGGGCAAAGGATTCCTCAGGAAAATAAGAAAGATTAATTATTCTCCTGATGTAATATGCTGCATGATCTATAGGAACCCATCTCTCCTACAAAGTCCAGACTTTCTCTAGGGCTGTACACCTGAAAAGAGAAAATATGTGTACCTGGATTCAGTGAAAGGAGCTAATTACATGTAATTCCACAGCAAAAAAAAAGGCTCATGTTCAGTCCCAAACTTGTCCCCAAAGCCAGTGGATGCTGCGACTGCCAGCAGCAAGGTGTGTCACTCTCCTAGCTGCTCTTTCCATGATCCAAGCAAGTAAAGCCCAGCAGCTCCCAGGCCCCTTCAGGATGCTGAGCCCTTGCCACGGACCAGCCCTGGGCTGCTGAAAGGCAGGAGGAGCTCCTGGGGCTCTGGGTTTTGTCACCTGCAAGCCTGGAGGAGCACACAGAGCTCTCCAGCCCTGTGTGATCCCAACATGGAGGATGAGGCTCAGTGTGAGTCAAATCAGTGAGCACAGGGTGGTTGTGGCAGCACTTTCCCCCTCTGGCACCCACAGGGCCACCAGGACAAGGCGCCAGTGAGGGCAGAGGTGGGCACTGTGCTGCCCATGTGCTACTCTGGGGTGTTGCAGCTTTGTGCCCCCAAACCCAGAAGCCCAAACTGGTTTTTCTGCCTGCTGGCTCCAACCATGCAGACTTGTAGGACCCTGGCCCAAACCAATGCTTTGGTACCCCACAATGCCAAAGTGCCCCCAGCACACAGGAGGGGATGTGGCACACCTCACAAAGAGCCTTTCAGGAGGCTGCAGTTAATGTCCTCAGCAGCAGCAAGGCCGCCCTGGCCAGCTGAGGAGGTGCAGGGATGTTGACATGTTACACTCGTACACGTATTGATCCGACAGTCCATTGTGCACCAGAGCCCTTGGCAAAGGTCACTGTCTCTGCTCCCACCCTGCAACACAGCACAGGGACAAAGATTAAATTTAGAAGTGATGAATGCTCCTGGTGCCCACCTGATTCACTTTGGGCCTCAAGCCCCAGATGAAGTCTGGAGCTGGCTTAATTAAGACATCCCTTGCCCCTCTCCCAGCGCTGCCAGACATGTCTGTTTCTTGTTGTCATTGTCTTTTCCCACAAATTCCTCCACCCTTTATCCCGTGCCAACCCTCAAACCGGCTCAGAGACTTGCCTCTGAGGCAGCATCCAAGACCCACATTTCCCATGACGCCCAAACAATCTCAGATCCTCATTTCTTGGCCCTTGCTGCTCTATCCCATGTAGTGTTCAGGAAGGACCTCCCACCTTTTCGAGGTCCAAGTTTACCAAAAACCTCAATCACGACTTTTAACATCCTAACTCGGTCTGGATTAGGACGCAGTCCAGTGGCTGAGCCCCAGGGGCCACCCCCGCACAGCGACTGCAGGAGCCAGAGCTCCCACCTGCCTGGCAGAAGCCGAAATCCAACAGAGGGAGTGGGCACGGGGAGCGGGCAGAGGCTGTGGGCAGAGGTGCGGGCATAGGGCTCGGGCACAGCGAGCTGGCACAGAGTGTGGGCAGAGATGCGGGCACAGGGTGAGGGCAGAGGGAGCGGACACAGGGAGCGGGCACAGGGAGCGGGCAGAGATGCAGGCACAGGGAGCGGGCACAGGGTGTGGGCAGAGGGAGCGGGCAGAGATGAGGGCAGAGGGAGAGGACACAGGGAGCGTGCAGAGGTGCGGGCACAGGGTGCGGGCACAGGGTGCGGGCACAGGGTGCGGGCACAGGGTGCGGGCACAGGGTCCGCACCGCCCCCGCGCCCGGCCCGCGCGGCCGCCGGCAGCTCGGCATGAATGAACCGCGCTCCTCCAATCGCCGCCCGCTCCGCCGCGGGCCGCCCCGCCCATCTCCCCCGCCGGCCAATCCCGTGGGCAGCACCCTCCCGCCGCCGGCCAATGGCGAGCGGGCGGCGCGGGGCGGGGCCCTCCCGCCGGCGGCGCCCTATGGCGGGGCGGCGCGCGCCACCCGCGGCGGCGGGCGGGCCAATGGGGCGCGGGGGCGGGGCGGGCGCGCGGCGGCCCCGCGCCCCGGCGCGCGGCTCTAAAGCGCGGCGCGGGCGGCGCGGCGCACACGCGATGGCCGCCGCCGCGCAGTATCTGCCGCGCTCCGCCGCGCTCATGCACCCCGACGGCGACCGCCTGCACCAGGGCACCACGTACCGCGAGGTGCAGAAGATGATGCACCACGAGTACCTGCAGGGACTGGCCCCCGCCGCCGGGCACGCCGTCGGGCTGGCGCACCACCAGTGGCTGCCCAGCGCCGGCACGGACTGGGGCAGCGGCGGGGGCGGAGGGGGCGCGCACCTTCCGCCCGCCGAGCACGCCAAGGGCGGCCCGCCGGGACCCCGCGAAGAGCTGTCGGCCGCCGCCTTCCACCACCGGCCGCACCTGGTACACCAGCCCGCGGCGGGCGGCGCGGCGGGCGGCTGGGCGCAGGGCGGCGCGCACCACCTGCCGCCCATGTCCCCGCCGTCGGGGCAGCCGCTGCTCTACGCGCAGCCCTACGCGGGCCTCAACGGGATGCTGGGCCCGCCGGCGCCCGCGCTGCACCACGGGCTGCGCGACCCGCTGGGCGCCGAGGAGGCGGGAGGCCACGAGCTGGCGGCATCGCCGCCGCCGCTGGGGCCGCCCGAGCCGTCGGACGAGGACGCGCCCAGCTCCGACGACCTGGAGCAGTTCGCCAAGCAGTTCAAGCAGCGGCGGATCAAGCTGGGCTTCACGCAGGCCGACGTGGGGCTGGCGCTGGGCACCCTGTACGGGAACGTCTTCTCGCAGACCACCATCTGCCGGTTCGAGGCGCTGCAGCTGAGCTTCAAGAACATGTGCAAGCTGAAGCCGCTGCTCAACAAGTGGCTGGAGGAGACGGACTCCAGCACGGGCAGCCCCACCAACCTGGACAAGATCGCGGCGCAGGGGAGGAAGAGGAAGAAGCGGACGTCCATCGAGGTGGGCGTCAAGGGCGCCCTGGAGAACCACTTCCTCAAGTGCCCCAAGCCCTCGGCGCACGAGATCACCTCGCTGGCGGACTCCCTGCAGCTGGAGAAAGAGGTGGTGCGGGTCTGGTTCTGCAACCGGCGGCAGAAGGAGAAGCGCATGACGCCGGCCGGGGTCCCGCATCCCCCCATGGAGGACGTTTACGCACAGGCGGACACTTCGCCGCTGCACCACGCGCTGCCCGGCGCCGTGCCGTGACTGCCCCGACGGCGGCGCGGCGGGCACGGGCAGCGGGGGACGCGTTTTAATTTATTCTCAGACTGGCCCGGCCGCCCGCTCTATTTATTCGCCCGCCGGAGCCGCAGCGGCCGCCGCAGCAGTAGCCAAAGGTTTGCGATCTCTAATTTATTCCCTTCCTCGCGCGGCCGGGAGGCGGCGGCGCCCCCGGCCCGGCCCGGGGGGACGCTTCGAAACCATTTCCCGGCCCGTCTCTATTTATTTCTAACCGTGCGCGGAGCTCGCACCACCCTCCCGTTCGTTGGTGGGTTCAGTCCGGTCCATTCCCCTGGGGGTTTTCGGTTTTTTTTTGGTTTTTTTTTTTTTTTTTTGTTTGTATCTCTTATTGCAAAAAAAAACCAATGTAGACTGCGAGGGTACGTTTCTATTTATGTTATAGTAAATATTTTATTACTTACATAAACCATTTACCCAGGAACCGGTCTCGTGTCGTCTTTGCAGGCTCGGAGCGCGGCCGGTGGTTCCCGTTGCCGGTATCGGTTCGTGCCCGGCGGGGTTTGCCCGGCCGAGCCGCTTCTCTGTATGGACGCTCTTTGTGCACCTTTCCCCGCAGGGTTTTTAGCGATCCCAGCGTGGCTCTCCGCGCTTCGGGCTCGCCCCTTGCCCTGCGTGGATGCTCTTTGTGCGCTGCCGTGTTCCCCGCACCTTTCCCCGCAGGGTTTTGACCGATCCGAGCGCGGCTCTGCACCAAACAGCCCGCACGGAACTTTCCTCCCATGTATCGCAGGGTAATCCACGCACGCTGGTGTTCTGAGTAGATTCTTTCTGCTCAAACCACGCTCTTCGCTTTCTCTGAATCACCGGCTTTTCCTTGCCGTGGTTTCATGCCCGAGTATTTGGTGGTTTTGCCAAGAAAACGCAGAAAAATGTATTTTCAGCCTATCGGTTCTTGGAAGAGTGATCCTGCATCTCTAAATCTTCTCTTGCAGCACCAAGAAAAGTCGCATGTGAGGATTGTTTGCCTTTGCAGGTCCTTGGATTCCTGCGGTGTTTTTTGTGTGTTGGGAGAACTTTTGAAAAATGTTCCCATACAAAGCTCTTGCACTGATTAAATACTTGATCGAAATCTGGTAGCAGAGGACCAAATTCTTTCTTTTTTCAGTTGGCAGAGAATTTACTGATGTTCTCCCATCTGGCACTGGATGGTTTCCCCACTTTATTCAGTACAAATTATGTGCTGTGAAAACAGAAGCTTTAAAGGGGATTTTCTAGCGAAAGCACGGCATTGTGCATTGCAGCTTATGTACAATTCTTTTTAATATATATAAAAATTTCTAACATACCAAATGTAACTTACTCTTGAAAATTTATACTTGAAAATTCTTGTCTTCGTTGCAGTTTGATTTTGTTGCATTTTGTGCCTTTGGTGGGGGTGTATATTACTTGTCTAAGCAATGTCACATTTGCCATTGATAATGTTATAATTTAGTGCATTTTCAATGTTTCTGATAATGTAGCTATTCTACATCAGCTAATACAAGACTATCAAGTTCTCATTCAAAATTCAAGAAGTAAACTGATTTTTGAGATTTTAAAATAAAGTCACTTTGAGCAGTTATTTCATCAAATACCCTGTAAAGAAATGGTTCACTTTGTGATACAAACCAGCCAGTGAATGCTGTGGGTTAGGGTATTAATAACTTCCCTTGGCATGCAGAGCATAATACAAAATCTCACTTAAAGGGCTTAGTGTGCAGTGTGTGTTCTGTCAGCTTTTGCTACGGGCTTAGCTTCCTTTTTTGTAATGAGATTGGTTTTTATAGAAGAGCAGAGAACGGTAGGGCTGTGGTAGAGATCCTGAATTCAAAAAGTTTCGCTGTTCTTACTGAATATTTACTAATTTCTAAATAGCTCTGCAGATGTAGTAGCTTAGATGATACACTCCAGTAAAAAAGTAAAGGAGGAAGATGATTTAAGGATTTCAGTAAATATGTCATGACAACATTTAAATTAATTTCCAACTCTGAGAATCTGTCCTTGGCTGTTACCTCGTGTGTTCCCCACACATGTACCATTGTTTTTAGTGTTTTGTCATGCTGTAATTGCAGCCTTTGCTTAAGAATTTCTGTGTGACAGGCAGGCTTTAAGGAAAGAAGAAACAAAACTGAACAAAAGAGGGGTGGTTTTTTTTGTTTGCTTGTTTCTTAAAGAAAACAAACTCGTTTGCATTGAATGTTTAATTGTGCTGATTTTCTATAGCACGAGACATTTCAGTAACCTCTTCATTGTGAGCTAACCTGGATGGCAAACAGGATTTGTATTGATACTCAGAAGGGCAGGGTCAGTTTTCACATTGTGTTCTGCTAAGGGATGAGATGTGCTGTGAGTGCTGGGGAGGATGAGCACCCTTGGGTTGTTCAGTGTGTCACATTCTATAAGGCACTGGCAGCCCTGCTGCATTAGCTCTCTCGTGCTGTTGAGCAGCAAAAATAAAATACTCTTTGTAGAGCTCCTTGCTGCAGTGCTCAGCTGCTCTAAAAATCAGATGCCCCAAAGGTTTGCCTATCTCAGAATAACTTGTTAGTTTTCCTGGTCAGGGATTAAATGGCAATTACTGGAGGAAGACTTTTTTTTCTTTTTTTTCCTTTTTTTTTTTTTTTGCTGGTTGTTTCTCACGAAGGTGAAAACACGACCTCATACTACTACATCAGTATTAAAGCAAGAAAAGGTAGGACTGTGGTGTTGGTCCACTAAAGAAAAGCAGATGTACAAATACTTATTCAACAAAGTAAATAGTAAACATACAAAGTAGGAAGTGCAGATAAGGAGCAGAAGCACTGCCAGTGCAGTTTAGAGAGGGGTTTAGGTGTGTGCTGATGGGAAATCCTTGCTCTAACCCAGAGCTCTGCTGCTAAGCAGTGCCTGGCCCTTCAGATCCCCTTCAGAGCATCCAGGCTCTGGTTGGTCCCGTGGTGGCACCAGAGCCTGAATGTGAACCAGAGACTGCTGTGCTTGGGGCAGTGCCTTCCATCACCAGGGCTGGGCTGGTCTTGCCTTGCCCACACTCCAGAGGGGCTGCTGAGCCTGGGTTTGCATCTCAGACTCCTGAGGAGCTGAGCCAGGGTTTGCATCTCAGAATGCTGAGGAGGTGACCCAGGGTTTGCATCTCAGAATGCTGAGGAGGTGACCCAGGGTTTGCATCTCAGACTCCTGAGGAGCTGAGCCAGGGTTTGCATCTCAGACTCCTGAGGAGTTGAAACTGGGTTTGCATCTCACACTGCTGAGGAGCTGAACCTGGGTTTGCGTCTCAGAATGCTGAGGAACTGACCAAGGGTTTGCATCTCAGCTTGCTGAGGAGCGGACCCAGGGCTCTTTGGCCACATGGGGATGTTGGTACCAGGTAAATGCAGCCCTGGTGTGTTCTCAGCCCTTCTCGTGCTCACAGAAGGGTGTGAGCTGTGCTGTGCCAGCCTTGCCAGGGCACAGAGCCTGTCTGTGTGCCCCAGGGACATGGCTGTGCTTCCCACACCTTGTAAACTGATTTTTGGTAATTTTGGGACATTCCTGTTTGCTGTTAGGCTGACAATATTCAATAGGATATCACTTTTTCCCTTTTCCAGTTGCTTATCAGCTTCCATGCATTATTAGGAAAAGGTTTTAGCATTCCAGTGTCCAATTTCTTCCAGGTTTCTTGTCTTACAGCATTATAAGAGAGGGAATGCTTGCTGTACAACTACTGCAGGAGTGACTACAGCACAGCAGTTTGCCTGGCGAGGCACAGTCACTTGTAATTAGTAATGCCATGTTCATCCTATGCTTTCCACTGAATCTGGTCTCTTCTGAGGGCTGCCCAGCCAGAGCTGTGCCTGCTCCCAGCACAGTGCTGTGGTGCAACTGGCCCCTAATGAGCTAAGGCAGCAGCTGAAGCACTATAATCTCTTTACATGAAAATTCAGAGCATCAACATTAACACCAAAGAGTCCTGTTCCCGGTTTTGCCCACTCCTGCTTGCTCTCTCCCTTAGAAGGAGAGATTTCAGTACCATCAGGTTAAACAAATCTTGCAATTCTGTGCTAATGTTGTTTGCATGTATTTTCATTTTATGCTAACTCTGCCATTGGTCGTTTGGAGCTGGATCAGCCCCAGGACAGCTCAGAGCTGTCACTTCACAGGTACTGGAAGCAGATCTGGGTCCTGCACTGGGGCAGAACTCCACAACTCTGGAATTCCTTCTCCTTGTGTTTTCCTTGCAGTTTGAAATGAGCCCATCCTGGCTGGTGACTGGAGCTGGTGCTTGCCCTTGCCGTGGGCTGGGGATGGGCACTCATGGGGGCTCTGCCTGCTGTCAGTGCCTGCTGCCCTTTTTCCTGGAGCACATCAGCCCCAGCAGGACCAGGAGCAAGCTGAGGTGGCATGGGGGGTGGGTTTTTTTGTTTTAAAATGCTAAATGTGCATAGATGAGTGTCTGCTCTCGCTAAGTTTAATATTGCTGCTCAGGGGGACCAAGGCCAATGTACCTTCCTGAAATGAGCAGCTCCAAAGCGTTCTGCAGGCTTCCACAATGTGTACAACGTGGTCTCTGAGCAGCAGCACCATGGATGTGCCTGTGCAGCAAACACACAGAGAAGGAGCTCAATAAAGTCTCTCGTGGGAGCCACCGCTGCGCTTTGCCACGCTGATTTATGGGCATCCAGCTTTGCTCCCACTTGTGATTTGCTGCGAGTAGGGGTGCCCAGCAGCAGAGATGTGGCCAACTGCACTTCCTCGGGGGTTCTCCTGTGTCCTTGGCAAAGCTCTGCCAGCAGAAGTTCCCCCAGCTCCATTTGAGCTGACACGACCCAGTGTCTGTGCCGTGCATGGGGATTACGAGATGCAAAGGCTGGGTTAAAGCATGTGGTGCTGCTCACACCATGTAATGTGCATGTTAGATCAGCCCTCATGAATATTTTATGGTCCTTGATATCACATTATTTTTGGTGTTGGGCAAATTGAGCGTTATTTCTTGTAAAGGTTTGACATTG